AATATAGGAACCACATCTGCCTTCTTCCAATCTTCCGGTACAATATCTGAAAGAAAAGAATCTTGAATGAATAAAAACAGAGGTTCACTTATTTCCACCCTTTGTTCCTTAAAGGAACACTATAGGGTCAGGAACACAAACATGTATTCCTGACCCTATAGTGTTAAACCCACCATTTAGGTGGTTTGCCCCCCTCAACCTCTTTAAAAAGAATTAGAACTCACCTTATTTCCATGCCCCTGATCCGCCTTGATGACATCATCAGAATTGCAGATTTTTAGCCAATCGAATGCTTTCCCTTAGGGAAAGTATTGGATTGGTGAAAATCACCAAGGAGGCAGGATGGGGTGGGGCCAAACGCCATTTTGGCCAAGCAGCACTTCTTCATAGAGATGCATCGAATCAATGCATCTCTATGAGGAAAATTCAGCGTCCCCATGCAGAGCATGTAGACGTTGAATGGCAGTGCTGCCTACGGTGCAGCACTGCCCTAGGAAGCATCTCCAGTGGTCATCTGAGGAGTGGCCACTTGGAGGTGTCCCTAGGGGCAATCTAAACACTGTGTTTTCTCTCAAAATGCAGTGTTTCCATGAAAATGCCTGAAGGCAATGATTATACTCATCAGAACATCTACATTAAGCTGCAGTTGTTGTGGTGACTATGGAGTCCCTTTAAGTACTCATGGATGAAAACTGTCAGGCCCTGGAGCTTTGTTTATATTAACTTTCTTTAGTTGCTGCAGCACCTTGTCTTGAGTCATCCAATTACAATTTTTCAAGGTTTTTTGCAGCAATCATTTGCATATCTATAGCCATAGTTTCTTCCTTAATATATACTGAGGAGAAATAGTTATTTAAAATTTCTGCCTTTTCCTGGTCTTCATTAACTCACACCCCGGTTTTTAGTGTACCTACACTTTCATTTTTTTTGTTGCTTTTTTTTTTAGTATTTATCCACTTAGAAATGCTTTGGGGTTGGCTTTAACTCATGGTTGACAAACAAACATACCTCACCACCTTTCCTGTTTTTTCTATCCTTCCTAAATAGTGTGTACTCAAGTTAACAGTATGCCTTTTATGTCATATTGCTTAGTGTATAATATTGCCTCTAGTTCCCCCATTTTGTTATTAAGGCTCCTTACATTAGTAACCATACATTTAATATTATCATGAGCCACTTGTAATTTTTTTTTATTAATACTGAGCATCTGTGGGATGTGCTGGAACAACAAATCTGATCCACAGAGGCCCCACCTCACAACTTGCATGATTTAAAAGATCTGCTGCTAATAGGGATGTGCATGGGGAAAAATTTGGGTTTGGTTCGGCATTCCGAAATTCGAGACTTTGGCACTTCAGAACTTCGGCACTTCGGTACTTCGGTTTGGTTCGGTTCGGGGCCCCCCTCCCGAGCTCCCACCCATGCCGCGAGTGGGGGCTTTTAAACTCAAGGGGGGACCTATTGCCCCCCCACCCCTGAGCGGTGGGTGGGGACCCTAAATTACTTCAAGGGGGGACCTATTGTCCTCCCCCAAGTCCCTACCCCTGAGCGGTGGGTGGGGGCCCTAAAATACTTCAAAGGGGGGACCTATTGTCCTCCCCCATGGCCCCCACCCCTGAGCCTGAGTGGCAGGTGGGGGCCATAAAGTAAAATAAAAGTGGGGGGGACCTATAGTCCTCCCCCCGGCCCCGACCCCTGAGCGGCAGGTGGGGGCCATAAATAACAATAAGGGGGGACCTATTGTCCTCCCCCCCGGCCCCCACCCCTGAGCGATGGGTGGGGGCCCTAAATTAGAATAAGGGGGGGACCTATTGTCCTCCTCCTGGCCCCCACCCCTGAGTGGTGGGTGGGGGCCCTAAATACCATTAAGGGGGGGACCTATTGTACACTCTGATTGGATGGCTTAAACCCACCAATCAGAGTGCTCTGAGCCTAATTGCAGGGCAATTATAAGCCTTGCCCGCCCTGCAGAGCTCAGTCTGTGTGGAGCCCTCCATGGGTGAAGATGGATTCCTTTTTTTGCTCTTGGGGTTTTTTTGTTTTTTTTTTTCTAATTGCAATGGTCATTATGGATTTTTATTGGGCCTTTTTTGGGGCTGAAAAAAGAAGATTTTAGAAAAAAGAAGACATTAAATGGTAAGTTTAATTTTTCTTCTTTTACAGGTACTTAGTTAATGGTCCCCCCTCATTATTTTTAGGGTGAGGGGGGTAGGTAGGGGTTCATTTTTTTGGAAGGGGGTTAACTAGGGGTTTGGGGACCCCTAGTCACCTGGGAGGAGGGTTACATTTTTATTTAGGGCCCCCACCAGCAGCTTAGGGGTGAGGCCAGGGGGGAGGACAATAGGTCCCCCCCCTTATTGGTGTTTAGGGCCCCCACCCGCCGGTCAGGGGTGGGGGCCAGGGGGGAGGACATTAGGTCCCCCCCTCCTTATTGTAATTTAGGGCCCCCACCCACCGCTCAGGGGTGGGGGCCAGGGGGAGGACATTAGGTCCTCCCTCCTTATTGTAATTTAGGGCCCCCACCCACTGCTCAGGGGTGTGGGCCAGGGGGGAGGACATTAGGTCCCCCCTTATTCTAATTTTAGGGCCCCCACCCACCACTCAGGGGTGGGGTCCTGGGGGAGGGCATTAGGTCCCCCCTATTGTAATTTAGGGCCCCCACCCGCTGCTCAGGGGTGGGGGCCAGGAGGGAGGACATTAGGTCCCCCTTATTCTAATTTAGAGCCCCCACCGCTCAGGGTTGGGGGCCAGTGGGGAGGACATTAGGTCCCCCCCTTATTGGTATAAAGGGCCCCCACCCACCACTCAGGGGTGGGGGTCAGGGGGAGGAAATTAGGTTCCTCACCCTTATTGGCATATAGGGGCCCCACCCACCACTCAGGGGTGGGGGCCAGGGAGGAGGACATTAGGTCCCCCCACTTATTCTAATTTAGGGCCCCCACCAACTGCTCAGGGGTGGGGGCCAAGGGGGAGGACATTAGGTTCCCCCCCTTTTTGTAATTTAGGGCCCCCACCCACCACTCAGGGGTGGAGGCCAGGGGGGAGGACAATAGGTCCCCCCCATTATTTTACTTTAGGGCCCCCCACCCGCCTCAATGGATAAGAACTGTTTTGGCAGCACGAGTGGAACCTACATGATATTAGGAAGGTGGTTTTAATGTTGTGACTGATCAATGT